CCCTTTAATTTGATTTAATCTCAAGCGTATAATACATACTTTAGGAGTGTTGAGTAAATATCTACATATTTCACCCACGTGGATGAACGCTGTAGCCCCATATTCTACTACATCTTGCCAAAAACGACTGACAGAGAATTTTGGAACAAGGACCATGGTTGCACCTAAAACACAGGAATACATAGTCCTTCAGTACTAATATATCACTGCAGGTTATCCTTGGGGGCGGACATCCGGGCATTTTCACCGCCTGGCAACCCTCACGGGAAAACAAAGGCCAAAAACTTACAGAAAACGGTACTTTGGGGTGGTTTTTTAGACTCCCCTGAACAGTGTAACAAGACTAGCCCTACGTGTGTAACATATATACATTTGGTTGTTCAGGTTTACTTCAAAGTTGAGTTTTTGTTGTTTTCTCGAATTTTCACCGGCTCGACCGGCGTCTGTGACGTAGCTTTGCCCCCGAGGATTAGAAAACGTACGCCTCGCGCGTACAAGACATGGCCGCGCGCTTTTTGAAAACGTTCGAATGTAGGACGCTTTCACCCCCACTTTTCATAATAATAGACGTCATACCCCGTCTATATTATAGTTTTGCTAAATATTTCTCCTTTATGGCGGAAACTAAGGAAACGAAAAATGTGCACGCGAGCCGCGGCGAGCGTTCCTTTTGGATATTTGCCAAAACGAAAAATGGCCGGTAGTGGCGCTGTTCAATACTTTTTTCGCCGCTAATAGACCATTTTCCGTTCACTGCGAGAATCACGCGTTATGCGTGAAATCGAACGTAAAAACAGGACAAACAAAGGTCATAGCGTCGTAGTCGCGTCAAACATCGCGTGGGATTCGACAAACGCGAAAGTATTTCGGGCACATTTCCATGCTTAATAATGTGCTGTCCACATTTGATGATAGGCAATTTCGATTAAGTAAGGGTATTCGGAAGCAATATTCCTCTGTCGAAGATCGGCCGGTCAATGTAAGCTGCGAAATAAAGAAATTCTAGTTCAAAATCAAATCGTTCGATTTTTGCGGCAGACGTTCGACGCGCGTCTTTCATGCATCTCGCGAGATCTCGCAATTGTACGGAAAATCACCAATTCATAACTTACAGCTCGAAGGATACAATGCGTTTCAAATCGAATGTGGAATTAAATTACATAATCGAATGAATTGTGTACATATATTACATATATAAGGTACATTTAGACATAGTTATTCAAAGTAAATGTATTTTATTGTCATTACTCAAATAAATCGTCAACATTTAAACATTTTCGTTAATCCCGGCTTATCTTACACTTTTGCCTACCTTTTTAACGCACGAATAAGATTGCGCGTAAATAAGCAATAACCAATATTTGTCCAAATTTGTAAGAATCGTTCAAACAATCCCACTGTGATTCATTCACGTGAAGCAATCCTGGACATTCCCCCCTGCAAAATAATTATCGAGCGTGCCATTTGTTTGTGAGCGTTATTGAGCCTTGAATCGCAAACCACACGATTGATTTATTTCTTCTCAGCCGTACCACTGCACTGCACGGGGTATAGTTGAATGGAGGACTTTACACTGGCTATTTTTACGTGGGTTCAAACAGGGATGTTCGCCTAAATAATAGGCCTGACTTTCCTTGTTATGAAGCAATAATAAATAGCGCATCGTCATTTATTCCCTGGGTGTGAACCGTGACCATATAATATATTCTTAGCGATAAAAAATTGAAAATGGTAGAACATTGGGTATTCCACGTGACCAAAGGTTATGTTCGTTTGGTTGTAGGGTCACAAAGGACGAATACCATTTTACTATGGTTTGTCCAAAATATGAAGCACTTAGACAAAAATTCTTACCAAAATATTATTTTTCACCACCAACCAAGATGAAATTCATTGCATTGCTACAGAGTACTAACTCGTATATTTTATTAAGTTTGGGTAAATATTTGTTTACGAGTTTTCATTCCAGCGAAACTGAAATGGAAGTATATGCATCTTGTAATTTTAAAGCGATCGTGTGCAATTTTAGTTTTGAAATGTAACAGTACTTTAGGCCGGTGGCCATATAGTGCGGAATAAATAATAATAATAATTTTTTAAATATATTTTCAAGATGCATGTTCAAATTAACAAAAGATGACGTACCGACAGATATGATGTTACAAAGGCCATGTATAAATCCAGTACCGTGATACAGAGGCAGGCAAATATACACTCTGTCTTTGTGCTGTATCTGTTGGTGATATATATTCGTAATATGTTTGGACATGAATCGATGATGTACCATCCTTGGTGCTTTCATCTTACCTGGTAGAGATATATACAAAAGAACCATTGTTATCGTCCACATCTACATTTCCTGTTAGTCAGTCGACGTATGTATATATTGTACAAAACAACATACCGTTATCAATAATATTTTAAATAATATTCACTGCACAACATTAACTATGTCTTATGCCTAAATGCTCTAATGCCACGTTCGGATGTGGGCAGACTTATTCTATTCAAATAACCATCTTGGGTAAGCCTGGTACTTCTATTAAGTGCCATACGAATATATCATGGGAATAACCCTATCAGGCAAAGTGGAACAAGGTTTAGGGCAATGATTGCATTTGAGTAGTAATAAACCACATTAAATCATATTATTGTCACACGCAACGTAATATTACCGTAATTGGTATAGTACAGGTGTGATGGTTCAAATACCAAAATGGCAACAGTAACAAAAAGACTTCCCTGGCGGCGATGATAAAATACGAACACGGAGCCAACAGATGAGGTTTCAACTGGTACTGGTATTATTATACTCAAGTACAATAACGCGGTAAAACTCCACTACTCCAATAACTAGATACTTAAACTCCAATACAATTCAACGAGATCTCCGATCTGATCTCAGTGCTGAACAACTCCCCTATATATACCCATACTGTCTATAAATAGACCATTACATCAGCATACATAATGAGTCTGGAATTTACTACAAATTTCTAGAATGTTCCATTACCTTCTATTGCCTTCTACAGTGTCCTATTACCTATTCAACCAGCTTCTAAAAATTCCACCCAGACACAGTACGGTTCTAGAACATTCTCAGTTACACGGAAGTGGTAAACAAGTCGTATGCGACACGCCTCCCCTCTCAAGAATATTATAACATATAATACTACTATACTGTTCAAAAGTTCCTCAGTCCATCAATCTACTCAGGTAGTCCACTACCACATTGTCCCGTCCAGGAATAACCTCAACACGAGAATTATATCCTTGCAGAGTCATCGCCCATCTCATCACTCGGTCATTTGCAAACTTGGCTTTATCCAGGTAAGATAATGGTTTATGATCCGTCTGCAAAATGAACTCCACACCGGCTAAATATAGGCGAAATATATTCACGCCCCATACAATGGCTAAACATTCCCTTTCTACAGTTGAATATTTCTTTTCTGCATCGGATAACTTCTTACTTGCATACGCAACTGGATGAAGCTTCTCACCATGATTCTGCATAAGTACTGCTCCAATTCCTACCTGAGACGCGTCCGTCCGCAACACAAATGGTTTCTGTGGGTCTGGCAACTTCAAAATTGGTTTGCCCAATAAGTATTCCCGCAAAGTGTTATATGCTTTCTTTTGGGCCTCTCCCCATACAACTT